CCTCCCAGGGAGAACTGCACACCAGCAAAAGGGGGGTTAGTCTCAGTGCTCTGGGAACAGCCAGGTAACTCAGCACTTTGCAGGACTGTGGCTCCATAGGACATCCCATGTGCAGAAGGCCTACCTGCTGCCCAAGTAGAGTGTGATGGGTTATGGGATCACTTCTGCCCAGTGTGGAGCTGGATTCACATCTCTGCCCCATCCCAAAGTTATTTGCTTTCTTAAGCCATAGGGTGATAAAGGCTTATCTCCAGTGAGACAACACCATGTACAAACCCAGAGCCTATTCCAGGTACTGGAGAGGAGAAACTGGCTGTGCTGATGGTGGAATTGATGTACAGATAGAGGAGAGATGGGGATGGACAGAGGGAAATGGAAAGTGATGCTGAGTGGAGAATACCAGAGTGGGAATAGTCAGGATTTTAATAGAGAGATCAGTCTCAAGCTACTCCTCTATGCCTAGGAGAACCTTTTCCAGGTCTTGCATACTAAATTTATCCCTCTTATATGCTCAAACCATGAGGACCAAGTGCCTGGAGAAAACAGAGCAGCTCTGTTTAAGAAGAAAGCTGGAATAAGGGTCATCTTTGTAATGAAGTTGGAGCAACATGGAGCTGAAGCAGTTTTGTCTTGCAACCTTTGAGCTGGGGTTTGCATGTGGATTTTGCCACAAAAGCCCTGCCCTGCTATGGGCTGTTGAACAGCTCTGCATGGCACAGTGATATCTGTGTATTTCTGTTAATTAATTAATTAACTGGGTAACAGAGAAGAGAGCATGGGGGTTCAGCCAGCAATGGGCTGGTAAGACACAAAACCAGCACGAGTGGATGACAAGTTGATTTGTACCATAGGTAACATGAAGGCAACTGGGGGATCTCTGTTTAAGGGAGGGCAGCAGCTACAAAACTGTCAGAGAACAGGGCACACAGGTCTCCAAAAGGTAGTCTCCAAAAGCAGCTGGTACCTTGGCTGGTGGGAACAGTCCCCAAGATGGAGTTTCAGAACAACCTCCCCTCTCTAAGCCCTGAGTCTGTGCTGTTATTTCTCATGTCATGGCAGTGAAGAGTACCAGCAGTGTCCTAGGGGAACCACACACCACTGTGCTGGCTCAGCTAAGCTCTGACATGAGTGTCCATGGTGGAGATGTTAGAAATGTGCACAGAAATGTTCTCCTGTGGACCCAGAGCTGTGTGTGAGGCTTGGGTGACTGATCATGTCACTGAAAATTGAGCAGGAGCCTGTGTTCACAATAAAAACTTCCCCATGTCTCCCCCAACTTTTGATGGAGATGCAGGCTGAGTTGCTGGAGCTGAACAGGTCAGTGATGCCCACTGGGTTACAGCAAACTTTGGTGCACCCCTGCTCTGTCCCTTCACTGACCTTTGATGATTAAGTTCTCCTTGTGTTTGGTGGCAGGTAGGTGCATGGCCAAACAAGCCCAGCCAAGTATTGTTGGAGCATCCCAGCTTTGGGTCCTGATCCCATAGTGAAGGAATGGACTGAGCAATGGATCTGTTCCTCACCTGCTGCACTTCAAGGTTCAGTGGTTTTTTTGCTTCAACAACTGCTGAACATGAATTCCTGCTGGAAACTTTATTACAAGGAATATTTGCTTTTACCACTAGGAGAGAATTTTGTCCTGTTTATGCCAAAATGTAAAGGAACATTCCTTGTGCATTTCTGCAACCTCGCTGCAAACCAGGAGCAAACCACTGAGCAAGAAGGGCATTTTGAGACAGAATCCAAGCCTACAGCACACTCCTGGATGCCTAGGGAGTTGTGGAAGACCAAAATGGGCTGATCCAGCATAGTCTGCCCATGGGAAACCTCTCCTTAAGGCCCCATTGCTTGGGAATCTCTTGTTCTTTGAAGCCTGAGGTTTCACTGCCCCTTTCAAAACGAATTAATTCTGTCCCTTGCTGATTCTATATTTAAAACTTACCAGTGGGTAAAAAAATAGCTTGTGAGTGCTGGAGATCTTGAATCTACAACCATGACCCTGAGGGGTGAGCTGGGATGCCTGGTCAAAAGGCACTTCTGTGTCTCAGCTTTCCCAGCTGGTAAATGGGAATGAGGATATGGGAAGGGAAGTCCTTCCAGATCTGTGACACCAAGTGCTACATAAAGGCATGACATTAATGAGTATAGTTTACCTCAGTAGCTGTCAGTATTTGCATAAATGTCCAAGGCCCTTTAAATCCTCCTCTCTTTCCCACTTCAAGAGGATTTTGGATGAGGAATTTAGCAGGTCAACTGTGTGAAAACTGAGTGAGAAACATTTAAATGTCCAAGCCACTGAAACAGCATGGAAGCTCCTAGGAAAGCTGATCCTGGTAAGGATTTTTGGACCAGTGCTGGTTCTGAATTCTCTCTAACCTAGCCATGTCTTCTCTCTCTGTAAAAACAAGCTAAAATCCTCTGATAGCCCTCCTCAAAAAAATAACCCCCCAAGACTCCAAAGGAAGCAAAATCATTAATTTTGAACCCAATGAATATTTAGTTTCCTGACTCTTGGGTAAATATTAGATAGATTCCCAATTTCAACCTGAAGCAGTTTATTTGGCTGCTGTTCACAAGTCAGACACAGCAAAAATCAAAGAAATCTCTTTTGATTCAGGTTGGGTAATATTGCCTGAGGGGTAACATCATTTTCATTTCCACACATCCAGCACTGGCACAAAACGGCATGGACAGGTATGAAAAATAGATCATGGATCCTTGGTGCTATAATTCCAGCTGATAGTTTCATCTTTGTGTAAATAATAATTACCAATAAAAATGTTGCTTGAAACAAAGAGAATGTGAAAAGAAAAACACCGTTGCATTTGATAAAGCAAAATCCTTTGCAGTACTGCCAAAAGAAAAAAAATAAAAGAAAGAAAGGAAAAACAAAAGAGAGTTAAAACAAATATAGCTCTTAAATAAAAGATCCAGGTACCAAAGAGCAAAATTTAATGAAAGCCAAAACTGTTAAATATGGAATCCTGTTGAGAAAAAAATGTCAATGTCTTTAAGAGTTTTACAATTACTCTATTTTTAAGAAAAGTGTAGTAAAAATACATATTACAAGTTTACATTTTCCACGCTTTTGTCCTATTCATCTTTTTTTTTCTTTTTTTTTTTTTTTTAACCCCTCCACTGATCAAAAGCCTTTGACAACTGCATCTCACATCTTCACATCGCAGGTGGCCAGTCCTTGCACTGCTGCACTGCTCACGAGACCGTCCAGCTGCCGTGACCTGCTGCCATGTGGTCCCATTTTTGGAGGAGGACAGGGCACTGCTGGGTCTCAACAGGCTGCTCCCAACAGAGCAGCCAGCGGGGCACTGTCGTGGCAAGGTCCAGGACACTACTGGGTCAGGAGATCCATCCGAGGGCTCTGGGCATGGAGACGGGACTGCTCATGGGACACCTCCACTGACACAGAACTGAAGGCAAAATTAAGTAAAGTGGGTTAAAAATAATGATAAGCAACAGAAACATCCTGAAGTAGAGTTTGGAGTGGCTGATAACAGGGTTCATGTTCACTGATGAAAGATGAAGATCACAACGGTTCTCGGTGGTGGGAGCGAGGAAAATAAACTGGCACAAGGCATGCTGTGCCCAGGCTTAGGACCTTGACTTTGACTTGCTGGTCTCCAAAGTGTTGCATGACAAGTGGGTAAGTGGAACAGGTGCTGCAGACCAGGCTGGTGTTAATGGTGGTAAATGTATTGCTCTGCACGTTCCTACACCAATGGAAACTGGTATTCATAAAGCTTCCAGCTGTACTCCCAGATTCTCCACATAGACCTGTGCCAGTCATTTGCCTGCATCATTTTCTCTTCACCTGCCTCCTTTCTTTTACTGCCCTTCTCTTGCAATGTTGCAGAAAATAAAGAGGGGAAAAAAAAAGAAAAAGTGAAGAGAAAAAAAATGAGAAAAAGCAACTCAGAATGCTCCAAGCTCAGTCCCCAGACAGATATTTTTTGGGCCCTCTGAGAACTTTTGAACTTAATTTGCCATCAGTGATGGGCATGTGAGGTGGGACAAGGCTAAATGGGGTCACTGTGGTCCTTGCCCCATATATTTTCTTCCTCTCCAGATGCTCTCCTGGTAATCCTTCACTTCTGGGGAGGTGTCTCAGGCCCACCAGGGTAGGAAGCATTTGTCTGTCCATGCCATAAATTCACAGAATGAACCTTTTGTGCAGTTCTAGAAAACCATCCTTGCCCCTGTGATCTCCATGCCCGTGGTTGGAGTCCCAGCTGCCTGCCTGGCACTGCGGGTTTCTGCAACACTGAGTTTGGGGTCAGCAACCTGCTCTCCTGGCTTATGGATGCTTCCCACTCCCTAAGGACACAGGAGTGGGAATCTGCTACTGTTGGCTTTGTACCCAGACAGGCCACAACTTGACAGGGAGGTTGAGTTTGACCAGCTCTTGTAGGATCTCCTCCTTGGTTTGCTTCAGCAGGTCCTTCCAGGAATCCATTCTGGCCAACTATCTACAAAATGTCCCTCTTAGTTAGAAAAAATGGCCATAAAGGGATTTCAGAGCAGAAAGGCAGGGATATTCCCACTGCAGCCCCATGACTTCTAGCGTGTTGTACTGGTTAATAGGCAGCCATCTAGAACTGGATGTCTTGAGATGGTCTGTTCCCGGCTCGAGGTGGTTCCCTTAAGTGACCACCAGAAAGGGAGCACACACAGAAGCTAAGCAATGAAGAAATGGTTCACAATTGCTTATTAGCCCCCGATAACCTCGGCAGGAGAGTCGCACGTGAGGGTAAACCACATTTACTTTCCCTCTTGCATAAACAGCAGCCATGACCATGATCTTAGACCAACCATCTGCTCCAGTCTGCCACGCATGGTGCTCTCCACTCCAGGCACACGATTCTTCTCTTGAACCGCCACTCATCATCTCTGGAAGAATCACTTCTTTGCCCACAGGTTACCTGGGGTTTCCAAACTCACCCCTGACTTTTCCCCCTGTAAAACAGCCTCATGTTTTTGTTCAGGTTCCGTCTTGCATCAAGTCCTTCCTGCTTCAGGGAGAGCCGGTCACAGCTCTGTCTGCCTCATTGCAATAACTCCACAGCCCGAGTTCACAACAGAACAACAAAGGCAGAATCACGATGGACAAAAGGGGTCAGTGATGACGCCCTGCAGGGAGTTCAACTTGCCATGTATCGTTTTGTCTTTTTTGCTGTTAGTAGCTCAGACGTTGTGGTTTGCCTCCCAAACTAAACCAGATTGAAGGACTGAGCAGGGAAGGGGGAAAGGGCCGATGTTACCCTGACACCACAGGAATTAGTAAGAAAAAATATATATATTGCACACACTAAGACTTATTAACAACCAAGTTAAAACAAAATGGCATAGTCCTCATTAGTGTTCCAGTGGTTCTTTGATCAGGGACGGTTCACGAGTCTGTTAAATCCCATTACACTCTCCTTATTGCAGTACAGACCTGTTTCTGTTCTCCTGCCAGTGGATCTGTTTGCAAATAAAAAGGGAAATAGATTTGATTTCCTTGAGAAGATCCATCCAATTGTCCCTTCTGTCATCATCGTTTGTCTTGTTGGTGTTGGGTATGTTTTTTGGCTCTGGAGGGGTGGAGTTGGGCTGCCCCTGCTCTCACCCAGGCAATGGATCAAAAGGCCAATTATAATCCCGTAGCTCCCAGGGACATGCCAGTGCTGTGGCTCATGCATGGGATCGTCTGCATGGATTTGGGGAAATCGTGGCTGACCACACGTCCATTTTCTCCACTGCCTCCTGCTGCAGCCGGCCTGGGAAGGGTTGATGTCCGTATGGCTTCGTTGATTGATTGCTGTGGGATTAAACAAAAACCCTTTTTAGGAAAGACGGGGGGGTCTCCCCCTGTCCTTAGCAATGTTGGAAAAATTACAATATTAACCAGTGTTGTCCTTCTGTCACTGTTCTCTCCCTCCTTGTCTCCATTCAAACTCTCACTTTCTACACGTCCCCACTGCATCTGCTCTGTTAATTCGCACCTCTTCCACATGCAAAATTAAATGTTTCACCAGTATTTTGGGGTATAAAGCATCCACGCCATATGCAGAAACTATTCAAACTCTACAACATAAGAACAGTCATCCTGGATTTGAGCAGAGGTATTATAAACACTTCCCCCATAGAGATGCTATTACTACTCCAGGCCTGTTCTGCAGGGTGGAGTCTGACTCATTGCAAGCATATGTTAAACTTTCCACATGTGAGAAGTTGAGCATGTGCCTATGTTTTTGTCTACAGTGATGACTGAGGCAAGTAGGAAATGCAAACCTAATTCAGGAAACCAAATCTTATCTTCCTGTTCCAGATAAAATGTTTGCTTTCAGAGACCTAAGGAAACCACCTGTGTAGAACAATTAAGCTGAAAGATGAAGTCAGTTTGGTTTCTTTGCACTCAAGCTACCTCCAAGAGCACCATCATTCTTTCTGGTCTGGGATATTCAGGTGAAGAATTATTCATAAGAGATAAATCTGAAACAGCTGCTCAGAAGCAGTCAGCTTAATCCTTTGCTGGGCCTGGAGCAGCCTCGTGGTCTGGTGGGATCTGCAAGTCACCCAGGGAATCTGTAAGGACTTGCTGAGCAGAAGTTGGGTTCAGAGGGGTGTCTGGGCCAAACCCCAGAGAGAGCCTGGACTCTGCTGACTGGCTTTGTGGGGCAACCAGTCATGGGAGTCAGCCAAAAGGACAAGATTAGAGCAGGTGTTTATACTGGGAGCATTGATTCCTTCCCACAACTGCTGTTTTTAACGTGGCAAAAGCACCACAGGCTAACACTGATGTGAGTTAGTGGGCCATTTCAAGAACACAGGGAAGCCAGCATCAGGACAGGATCTCCTTAAGATTAAAACCATGCAGCTATTGCATTCTGACATCTTTTACTGTCTATTTGGGCCATGCCTAGCTTTACAGTGTAGGCAGAAATTATAGTTTAATTTTTGTATTTCCAGGGACATTAATTGCTCACATTATCTTACTCCTGTGCTCAAGGCATCTCTCATTGCCTGTAGAATTTTCTGAACCTCAATGGGAAAAGAGCTGTAGCACATTTTCAGTGCATTAGAAACATTATTGCTGACAAAACATTATACATGTTGTGAAACGGTGACATAAACCCCAAAGAAGCTGTTGCTTATTCTACTTTTGATTCTGGGTGAGTTTCAGTGAGGAAAAAAATCTGTCTGGATTTTTTGAAACTCACTTCATACTTCATGTACTCATACCAAATTCCATGCTCATGGGAGAGGTCAAGATGAGGAAGAAAAAGGGATGTGTTACATATCCCACTGCCTCCTTGGATACCATGGTATCTGTATGAGGGACTGTCTGCTAGTCATCTGAGCCAAGATATGCTTGTTCCACAGATGCTGCATTAAATGTGTACCCCCAAAGCTCTCAAATCAAATCCACTTTTGACATGACACTCTGAAATTTAGGCACACCAAAATTTAGGGTTGAAGCAGATCTCCTGGGTTGTAGGAAGTATGCTTCTGCAAGACCATGACAGGTTGGAACCAAAAAAACACCACTACATGAGGCATTGGAGGCCAATTTCTCTCTAAGAGGGTCAATAATTCTGAATTTGGAGGCCCACATCATCCATTCCAGGGCAACAATGCTGTGAGCATATATTGCTCTTGTCAGCCTGGAAATGGTGCCAGCAGGGTGCCAGTGAAGGGAACAACAGGATGTGATTCATTACTGTGCTGCCTCAGTTTTATCTTGCTGTTAACTGCTTGGGTTTGGAGACTTTTTCATATTGCAGTAACACTATCACACCAACCCCAGCACACTTCATCCATGCTGCACAAGCATTGCCATACTCTGCTTTTGTTAATTTTGAGGGATTTCAACTTGTTCCTGTTCCCGTTTGGGCTATGATTTTGCTCTATATCTGGATTTTAAATTAGCATTATGCCACATGTCTGATCTTGCATCAGCTCCCCACTACAGCACACTTGACCCTCTTTTAGCTTCCTCTGGTGCTCCTATTCCTTTCTAGCAGCTTGAGTGACACGGTCACTCCATTATCCCTATGTCTTGGCTTTCCACCCATGGTCTGGGCTGCATCCGTCTCTGCAGGCAGCTTTGGAGCCAGGGTAGGACCAGAGAGAAGGTGTGAAAGGCCGTGGAACGGGTTGCCACCTTCATCCGCTTTGATTCACTCCTGGACTTGTAACAAAACTCGATTAAGGCAACCAGCATGGCCAGTCCGAGCCCTCCGATGAGGATATAGAAAACCCCCGCCACATTGCTGAGACTCAGCGCGCTCGTCTTGTCCTGGAAGAGAAAGGAGAAGGAGGGGGGAAGGGGGAGGGCAGGTGGGAAGGAGAACAACAAAATTAATATGAAATTGCTCTGGGAGGGATGCTGCACAGTACAGCAATGTTGGCATTACATCATCTTTCTCTTTAAGTGAACAAGTGACATTTTTCTAAGAGCATTTTTAAATTTTTAATTCAGTGTCTAGTAAATCTAATGTTTCCCTCGCACAAACAAATAAACGTTTCTTCAGCAGTGCGACTCTTTGCAAAGGTTTGGGATCTCTGTTTTTCCATCAGCTAACTTAAATGCTCATTTTACCCAAAATGTCTAGTTTGAATTATTGATTAAAGGAGGAAAAAAAAATTGAAGTTTTCCTTCTCTGTGACATTTGCTCGTCCCTGATGTCTCGCCTGAAATAACCTGTTCTCTTGGAAATGCTCATTCCTTCGTTCCTAGATTGTTTCCCCCGCAAATTCTGTTGCTGGGCAACACATCGAAGTGGCTGGGCTTTTTCTTTTTTTTTTTTTTTTTCCCTTTTCCTTTTCAGTGTTAGGGTTGAGGTGACACCTGAGCTGTCCTCAGAAACTCATTTGATTTCTATGTAATGGGACCGTTATTTCATATGCAATCAAGACCCGCTGATGCATGTCTAAGCTAATTATTTGCTTGGCAATAAATAGGGCTATTAATGGGCCGCAACTCACATTCAGCGTCTACGTTCTGATTTTACAATTGCCTAATGAGTTGTCACGGCTCTCTGGGGAAGAGGCAAGTACCAGAAATACTCCTTTCACTGCGAGGGAAACCAAGTGATGTCACCCCGTGCAGCTTTCAAAACCTTCTCCTCCATGTTGACCAGGTTGAGTTGGGAATAATCCGGGCAGCAACGGGACCCCAAACTTGGCTGAGCTCCACGTAAAAGGCTCCTGCTTCTAGGACAGGCTTTCTCTGTAGTGCCAGCAGGCAGAGCTTCCCTGCTCCATGGTTGCTGCTGCTCTGCAATATTGAATCGATACCTATTTGCTGGTAGAGATGCTGCAGGGCCAGCACAACAGGTCAGTGCAAATCTGTTGGAGTGACCAGAGTCTGACCTGCACTGACAGCCCTGCATCCCCCTGATGTGGGAGGACAGCTGCGTATGGCTCATTTGAGATGTAGCCACACACTTAGATCGATGTCTGTAGAAGTGTCTGCAGTTGGTAAAGAAGCCTCTGTGCAGCTCTTGGTGTTCTTCTGTGCTGCTCCATGGACACATGGACCAGTGGGTGGCACAGCCTGTTCCTTGCCCTTGTAGGACAGTTGATTCACTTCCTTTCCTTGGCAGGTTTTACAATAAGCAACCCACACTTTTTGGGAAGGGTGAGGATTCAGGAAGCAGAAAAGTATATTGGAGCCATGTTGAAAGGGTCCAAAATGCAACACCAACATGGAAGGTTTCTATACAAAAGCACTCTGCCTGACACCAGTACTGTCTTTCAGGCAAGTATGCTTTGCTAAAGGATCCTGTTTTTTTCTGTATTAGGGTTTGATGGCAAAAAAATTAATCCTCAGAGCAATATTTTTTCAAAATGAAAAAAAACCTTCCTGTAACAGAAGAGAACATATAGGTGGTGGGGTTTTTTGTTTGTTTGTTTGGTTGGTTGGTTTTGTTGTTTTTTTAGAAGAAAAGAATTCTAAGAAAAGAATGCTAAAAAGAGATTTCTTTTTCTATTTCTCCTTCATCTGACCCACTGCACATGTGAGCTGCCAAGGCTTCTGCCCAGCTGGAGCTCTTGCTGTGGGGTCAAGTATCATGGGGAGCAATTTTCCATCCTGAACCCTCTGCTGAAAGATGCTGAAATTGGTGTGGGGCCATTCCTGTGGAGTTTCAGATGCTGAAAAAAACTCCTTAAGTGATCTCATTTTCCATGCTTTGCAGATTGACATCGCTTTGACAGGAGATTTGCCGCTGTCACCGTGTGCTTTGCACCGCTGCAGATGTGACAGTTGCCACTGGCAGGAAGGTTGGGTTTCTCCCTTCATGCGCTGGTCAATTTGTAGTCTTGCCAATGAAGCATTGGGTGCTCTCTGTAATGAGAGATTTCTCCGTTTTTCCTCTTAATTTCTGCACTTTCAATATTTGCAGGATTATTTTATTTGGTCTTTTCTAATCTGCCTCCACTCATTTTTTCCTCCAGGCTTGACTTTACATTTTTTCAGTCATCTCTTCTCTGCAGATTATTGGGCATACTTTTAAGCACCAGCTGGGAAATGCAGGCATTTTTTAAGAGAAGATATAGAAGGGCAGAGCAATTACTCTCAGGAAACTGGATTGCAAAACATCAGGTACTTTGCCTTTTTAAATTCTGTCTGAAGGGGCTACATCAGCTTCAGTCAGGGATAAAGACATTAGAGGTGGGCTGCCCTCCTTGACATCCTAATCTTTTAGCCTGGCTCCTTAATGAAATGTGGCTGATTAGCACATGGTCTCTACTCAGAGGGAAGAATGAGGACAGGGATGCAGATGGAGCAGCCTGTTTTTCTGTGTATTACTAATAATTTTCAGCCTATACTTTCACCTTGATTTAGTAAAAGTGTGGAGATCTCCAAGATATCAGAAACCCCCCATCTTTGTGACAAAAAATGACACTGTAGAGAAGAGAAAACCTACTGACACTCTCACTCAAATAAATGTATCAGTGCAATCCATACAAGGGATCAGAGACTCCACAGGGACCTTTGACTTGCAGACACAGATATTTAGGAGATCTGTCTTCCTTGACTCTGTTGGTCATGGGAATACAAAAATGTAAGGTTCTATTGGCCAAGATACTTATTTCCATCCCCAGTTTGGGGGTCATGGTCCAACAGGGCACCAACTTCTCAGCTGGCTGCTGTGGCAGAGTAGTCTGGCAGCCAGGAAAGGCTGCTGGTTCTTAATTCTGACTTTCCTCCTGACACCAGCTGCAAAATGACCAGTAAGAGAGAAGAGATGACCCAAAGCAGTTTCCTGCACCACTACAATTCATTTTGGGGCTGTTTTATTTTTCTTGAATTTACTTTGCAGTAACATTATCATTATTGCTATTGTTATTACTCCTGTTACTACTATTACTGTTATTACTGGGACAATCTGGGTGAACTGAAAATTGTGTTATCCAAAAGGCAAAGTGTTGTGAGGCACAGTGGAGGGCAAACCTGCTAGGAGGGAGAAAGTAGCCTGAGTTTCGCCTCTGCTACCCTAATAAGGCTTCTCCCAAGGAGCCAAAGGCATGGGCAGCTTCAAGGGGCACTGAGGAACACTGAACCAAGGGAGCACTGCTGATGACACAGCCTGCTACCACAAACCAGGCTGAAGAGTGAAATTGCTCCTGTGGTGATGCTTGACTTCTAGCTCTTTTTTCTTTCCTTTTTGTTTCCTTCCCCCTCACAGCAGGACAGGCAGAGATGTTCTTTGGGCAGCAGTGACATCTCCTTGCTCCCATCAGTGGCAGGACCACACCTGCACGATGGGTCGGAAGCCCTGCATACCCCAGCAAGGCTTTGCCTGCTGTTTCCACTCATGATCCTGCCCTAATAATGCTTACGATAATAAAAAGTCCCAGATTATGCTATCTGCTTGAGAGGACCCTCCCCTCCTCTCTGCTAGGGCTCTGTGACACCAGATGCTCTCCCGCAGAGCTGCCCCTCGCAGAACCAGCTTGTTAGTGGGAGTGTAAATGTCACCGCTCGTCTCCCGCAGCGGCAGAGCGCCGACGTGGGGGGAAGATTGGCAGGTGAAAAGAGAAAGAAAAACCCGTCTTCCCAAAAGCCCGGCCTTGTTGCTGCAGCAACCAGGCACCTTCCCGTCTGTTACTCCCAGACAAGGCACCGTGTCCGTCATCCCCTTTTGTCATTCCTTAATCCTCGTTGGCTGAAAAGCATCAGGGCCAAATTTGCCCATTTTCCCTGGGCAGGGCTGGTCCCTTCTGTCACCCTGCATGACCAGAGCCTGTTGGCAGCACAGGGTGATATCACCTCGAGTTGTTGCCATCTCCACAGAAGATGAACTGTCCTTAGAGCAGTTGGCAGCTCAAGACCCTGAAATTAGCTCAGTTGGTTAGAGCATGATCATCATCAGAAGCTGAGCTTTTACCCCAAACGTTGGACAACCTTTACTGGGGCGAGGCCTGAAGCTCAGCAATGAAAGACATAGCGCTGACCATCATCTTGGATCTCTACTGTGGGTCTGCCAGGGGCTAGGCAGGAGTACATGGATGGTGGCTGCAGGAGTACATGGATGGTGGCTGCAGGGACAAGGCTGCCCAGCATGACAAAACACCTTTGGTTTGAGAACCTGTCAAAGGCAGGGCAAGGCAATAGCAAGGTTTGTTCTTTTTGTTTGTTTGTTCATTTGTTTTGTTTGTTTGGGGGGTGGTTTTGTTTTGGTTTTTGTTTGTTTGGGTTTTTTAATAAAAACACAATTCTTGCGACTGGCAAAGAGGATTCAGAGACCCCTGTGGCTTTGATAGAGGTCCTTTAATTGCATGAAGTGACCTGGATGTCCCTGAGAGCAGGTTGTTCCTTGCTATCCTGGTCTAGAAAAAAAAACTTCCTTATTCCCATTGCCTTACAAAAACCACAGGAAAATGGAGAATCACATCCATCTGCCCCGACGTTTATTGTCCACCTCATCATTACCTTCCAGCAACCCAAGGCATCACTTTCAAGCCCACAGAACATTTCATAGCCTGCAGAGAAAGCAGTCCATCCTGTGCTTGTTTGTAAAATGGGATCCTTCTAGGGAGTAGCCTGGTTATGGAGTGTCTGTCTCTCTTCAGGGCTTATTCCTGCTGTGGCAAGTAGAGGGGAGTGCAGGAAAGCTTGGAAATAACACCAGGAAGGGGTGGAGGGTTTCTAGCTACGTGAAGTGCTGGAGGTGAGTGTGCATGGAGAAACCTTGAGCCTGAGGGAAGGGGTGGCTGCCACATGTTTAGAGTGGGGAGAAGAGCAGCAGGGACTTTGCTGCCCAGTGCAGGACACTGCCTGGGATTCCCCACTGTCTGGCAATGCAACCAGGGCCATGATGGTCCTGGATGAACAGATCCTGAGTGCAGCTACTCAGCACCTGGTGGGCTGGCACAACATATTGAAATATTCAGGAAAGCAGGAGTGTTTGCCTGTGGAGTTTGATTTCAGATCCACTAATCTGTCTACTGTTTCTTTATAGGAATTTCTCTGGATTAAAAAAAAAAATTGGTGGACAATAAATAGGTAAGCAGATTAAAACCAGGATGCACAGAAGTCAGTACAGGCATGGGACATCATCTGGGGCCAATGAAAAGCCTGGGAAACACCAGATTTTGCTTGTCTCTGTCTAGAAACCTTTGGGGCCAAACTTTACATCCAGCTGGGCCCTCACTCTTCTTCATTAGCACTCATTTGTCCTTCTGAAAATCCTCTAACTGCAAACTCAGCTAAGATCAACCATAGACAGAAATGGGAAGGTTTTGTCATGCCTGTGTGAAGAAAGGTATGAAATGGCCTCCAAACTCTCAAGGTTTGTTCTGAACCTTGGCTGTTGAGGAGTGTTGAGTGGTCCAGCTCGTACCAGGGGAATCTGTGCCCACCATGGGCAAGATGGGAGAAGCTGGGCCTGGTGCTGCCTCATCCCCAGACCACAGGGACACTGGGGAAAGGGGGAGCTGCTCACGCAGCATCTGGGCAGTTTGGCTTGTTTGTGGTAGGTGCAAAAGTGTTCAAGAAGCAAAAATGAATAGAACTCAGGTGGGCAATAGGTGAGTACTCTTGCCTGGCTGCATTCATGAGAACAGGTCAGCTTTGCAATTGCTTGGTCCTCCTGTAGGTGGGAGAGGGGTCAGGTGATGTTTATGTTGATTCCTCTGACGTTTCATATCACACTGCTGTTGCAGACATGGTGCAGATACTCAGCAAGGAACAGAGATGAAATCCTTTTGCGTAACAACTGGGACCCTTCACTGTGATCTTCCACTCCCAGTAAAAGCTTACATGGTTTAAGGTTTGTGCCTACTGATTTCACACGTGGTGTTTCAAGCAGCTCTGATGACTTTTGGATCCAATCTCATTTATTCACATGTGATTCACATGTGTGTGATCGTGTTTTTCAAGCACATGTAAACAACGTGTGACCAATACTGAGGTCATACGATCCACATAAACCCATGTGCCCCAAACCTTCTCTTTCTGTCCCTGTTAGTTATCCTATGGTGTGGAACGAATCACTACATCTACTTCTTCTTATTTTTTTTTTTTTCCCACCAGAATAGTGATAAAGTACAGTATTGCAGGGATTTTTGTTTGAAACTAAACTGATTTCGCATCCATTTCCTTATGGGCATTTTATCTGCTATGGAATTTCTCTAGCACTGACGCATGCAGGCTCGTGGTGAAGGTATTATGGAAGCTGTGTCATGGCTTCAGTTTCCCAGCAGAAGTGATTACTTTTCATTCATATGGTGACTATTGCTCAGTTGGTTACCTTGCAAAATATACGTACTCTACAAGTCAATTAGATTTTTGCCTGAGTGGGACCAGTGCCATATTGTATAGCATGTCTTATAGAAGGGTTATTCTTGGATACGTGCAATGCTGCAGAGAAGAGCAGAATTTGATTCTAAATAACATCTGTCAGCCCCAGAATGCAATAAAGCAGTTGGTGAGATTGAGACAATTAGGCCAGGTGGAAAAAAATATGACAACCTACCAAAAACTGTTTGTAG